GCTATTAATGCAGTTCTTAAGAATAGAGTAATGACTTACATTGTCAACTTCTACTAAAAAGCTTCATAACCAAAGGTGGCAGCAGGTAGCCTAGCGGTTAGAATGTTGGGCCAGTAACAGAATGGTTAAGTGTTTGAATCCACAAGCCAACAAGGTGAAACATTTGTCGATGTGCCCTTGAGCAAGGCACTTAAACCTAATTGCTCCAGGGTCACCCTGGCTGTGACCCCACTCTCTGAGTTGGGATTTGCAAAACACACATTTTCAATTCACACATTTAATACACACTTGTACATGTGTGAAATAGGACAAATATAAGCACCCACCAAATTATTTTTGTATATATTAATTATTGTAAAAAATATATTATTATTATGTTTTGGTACTTTATACCACTTTTTCTCCCCAATTGGTAGTTACAGTCTTGTCCCATCGCTGCAACTCCTTTGCGGACTCGGGAGAGGCGAAGGTCGAGAGCCAAGCGTCCTCCGAAACACGACCCCGCCAAGCCGCACTGCTTCTTGACACACTGCTCGATTAACCCGGAAGCCTAGGAAAAGGACATCCCAGCTGCCTCATGGGTCTTCCGCTCATGGCCGGCTACGAAACAGCCCGGTATCGATCCGGATCTGTAGTGACGCCTCTAGTCAGTGTCTGAGGCGGCCTTAGACCACAGCGCCACTCGGGAGGCCTATTTATTATAAATATAACATATTAACCTTTTGACAGGTACCAACAAACGGGTGTGATCATTCTACAGTGGTTCCTGCAGCATTTGCTCAAATCGGTGTGATTATAACACTTATTTAGAACGCCCAGTTTCGATTGACGCAACAGTCAGCGTTTGAGCTGGCCACACTGTTTTTTCACAGAAACATTTTTCACAAACACAGTCCTTACAAAGTTATGTCCTGAATGTTACCAGTTTATTTTTGGATGCAATGTTCAGACATTCACAGAAGTAGCAACAGCATAACAATCATCCAAACCAGAAAATGTAGGCTATATTAGTCCTAGCGCTAACAGAGGAAAGATTGATGTAACACAAGCAGTCCTATTTAGCTAACTCTCTGACAGAAACTACAATATGAATTAGCTAATAGCATTTACTATTTACAATTCATCGCATTACGGGTGAGCTTACCATTGATATAAATAATTTAGTAAAACACTTTCTAAAAATCAAAAGCAATCCGATGATGGGTAGTTTGTTTTGCCACGTGAACCAAAGATAATAAGAGGAGACAAGATGAGTTTGATCTGTTTGCAGTATGAATTTTGAAGGGGGTGTGTCGTCTACGATCATTCACTTCCCTTCATTCACTTCCGGAAGTTTACTCGAAAGATGAGTGAACCATTCCTTCACCTCATTTTCTTATAACATATTTGGACAGACGTTTAACACATATGGAATCATGTAGTAACCAAAAAAGTGATAAACAAATCAAAATATATTTTATATTTGAGATTCGTCAAATAGCCCCCCTTTGCCTTGATGACAGCTTTGCACACTCTTGGCATTCTCTCAACCAGCTTCATGAGGTAGTCACTTGGAATTCGTTTCAATTAACAGGTGTGCCTTCTTAAAAGTTAATTTGTGGAATTTCTTTCCTTCTTAATGCGTTTGAGCCAATCAGTTGTGTTGTGACAAGGTAGGGGGGATGTTCTTACATATTATGGCAAGAACAGCTCAAATAAGCATTTAGAGACGACAGTCCATCATTACTTTAAGACATGAAGGTCAGTCAATATGGAAGCTTTTAAGAACTTTGAACTTTTCTTCAAGTGCAGTCGCAAAAACCATCAAGCGCTATGATGAAACTGGCTCTCATGAGGACTACCACAGGAAAGGAAGACCCAGAGTTACCTCTGCTGCAAAGGATAAGTTCGATTGCAGCCCAAATAAATGCTTCACAGAGTTCAAGTAACAGACACATCTCAACATCAACTGTTCATAGGAGACTCTGTGAATCAGGTCTTCATGGTCGAATTGCTTTAAAGAAACCACTACTAAAGGACACAAATAAGAAGAAGAGACTTGCTTGGGCCAAGAAACACGAGCAATGGACATTAGACCGGTGGAAATTTGTCCTTTGGTCTGGAGTCCAAATTTGAGATTTTTTGTTCCAACCGCTGTGTCTTTGTGAGACGCGGTGTTGGTGAATGGATGATCTCTGCATGTGTATTTCCCACTGTAACGCATGGAGGAGGAGGTGTTATGGTGTGTGGGTGCATTGCTGGTGACCTTGTCTGTGATTTAGTTAGAATTCAAAGCACACTTAACCAGCATGGCTACCACAGTATTCTGCAGTGATACTCCATCCCATCTGGTTTGGGCTTAGTGGGACTATCGTTTGTTTTTCAACAGGACAATGACCCAACACACCTCCTGGCTGTGTAAGGGCTATTTTACCAAGAAGGATGACCTGGCCTCCACAATTCCCCGACCTCAACCAAATTGAGATGGTTTGGGATGAGTCGGACCGCAGAGTGAAGGAAAAGCAGCCAACAAGTGCTCAGCATATGTGGGAACTCCTTCAAGACTGTTGGAAAAGCATTCCAGGTGCTGGTTGAGAGAATGCCAAGAGTGTGCAAAGCTTTCATCAAGGCAAAGGGTGGCTATTTGAAGAATCTCAAATATAAAATATTTTTTGATTTGTTTAACACTTTGTTGGTTACTACATGATTCCATATGTGTTATTTCATAGTTTTGATGGCTTCACTACTATTCTATAGTGTAGAAAATAGTATAAATAAGGAAAAACCCTTGAATGAGTAGGTGTTCTAAAACTTTTGACCGGTAGTGTATTTCGAATAAGTATTGAGTTTGCACTTTTTAGACTATTCAATTGTTTCAAGCAGTTTGACTACGCAGCATTTCGAATTGACCACCTGTTTACCTCAGCCAGTCGAAATAAACAACTAAATTCAGATGTACAAATCCTAGAAACAAAACGTCCATACTATCTGCTAACCCACTCTAGCTGTCAAGGAGAACAGGCAGACAGATCTAACAAGCTAGTGTCAGATGGAAGACAGAGCTGTCTAGGCGGCTGAAGCACATTAGAAGTTTCCACATAAAAAAAAAACGCTACATGAAAACATTGTCAATAAAAGACTCCATTGGGACAATATGGAGAAGTGCTAGTAGCTAACGTGAATCATTTAGCAAGCTGTGTTCTCCCACTTTGCAGCTGCCACCCCACCACATCACATCATTGAATTTAGATTCCTACGTGAGGGGAGTTAGGAGCTTTATCCTTCCCCTGTGCATGTTTGGGAAATATATTAATCCCCATGCAGTAACAGTGAATACTGAGAGGGCAGACAAACACACACACACACCCAAGGGCAGACACACATATGCGTGCAGACACAGGAGCAGGCAGGCGGGCAGGCAGGCAGGCAGGCACGTAAAGCACACACACACACACACAGAGACACACACAGAACCCCCTCCCAACACACACTGCACCCACCCACCAATACATACATAGAGTCCTTTTAAATCAATTTTATTTCTTTGTGTGGGCCGAATGGCTCCTCCACCGTTGTCCCCATGCTATCTCTGCTCAGACACATGCTACTGCTGAGAAAACCCCTAATGCGTACCAAATCATCACATTTAAACCAACAGCGCTTGCCTAGCTCAGCTAGCTGCTGCAGCAATCCCCCTTTTTATTGCATCACACACACACACACGCACACAAAGAGAACTATAGGTTCAAAAGTTAGGAAACAAATGAATAGTTATTACTTTTTTAATGATTTCATTTTTTTTTGCAAAACCTTGCATCAATGTCAAATACATTCTATTACCTCATTTTTTTGTTGACAATACAATTGGATATTTTCTGATAAATCTTCCAAATTATTCAACCATTTACACTTTGTAACACTGAATCTAGCAGGGTAGAAAACGGCAAGCAATACTGGAAAAAAATAAAAAGCCTGTGAACTAGGTCCCCCCCTGTATTTTTCATAAATGGTTTTTTGAAATTACTCAAATTCTACATTAATTTATTCATGTACAGAATAAATATTTTAAGAAACATGGACCCTTGTATTTTATATTCTATTTTCTGGGGATGGACCCATTTGGAAATGAGACACTCCAGGATGAAGTTTCCCCTAGGCACAGATGTAGGATCATCTTCCCCTTCCCCAATCCTAAACTGAACCTTTAGTGTAAAAATGCAAAAGTAACCAAAGATCAGCATCTACGGGCAACTTCACCCTATTCTGAATGAGCACTCTGACTGAATGCTCATCCTTCATGACCACTGATACATAAAAGACTGGATAGGTGTCCACTATATTGCTTCCACCTGTCATGTCCTACAGTATCAGTGGTCATAGAGGAAAGTACACAAGGAATGGAAAGTTAAAACTATTGAGACACAGCCACTGTAGGGAGATGAGGGCAGCTCTAGAACGTCCAGATATGCTTGTCATCTCACAACAGGGACCCCTGAATCACCAGTAGTCAGAATGTTGGGGGAAGGGGGCTCCCACCTGCTACATATGTGAAGTCCACAGAGAATGCTAGACTCTGATAGAAAGTACTACAAAACTTTGTCTGTATACAAAAACAGTAGATATTGACTCAAAATGGCAGACTGTAATGTGATTTTTGACACCGTACAGCATGTTTGTGGAGGCATTGAAAGTAATATGTCAGTTCTTTACAATCCCCGAACTTTGGCACGATAAAGGCATTACAGAAGATAAACAATGAGTATTAGGGAGCTCAATCAACGTCAATGATTTCAAATGAAATAAATACATATTTTATCCTCTCTATTTTCTTTATACAGTTCTTATTCAACATTTTAGCACTTTGTAACATTCCTTCTCATAATGATATGAGCTCCATTTTTATCAACTGGACACACACACGGAGATTTGACAAAAGTGTAATTGACATAACAGAAAAAAACAACATCAACTAATTTATTGGGGTGTTATGGTCTCAAGATACGGTATGATGCTCTGAACAGGTGTGTGTGCATGTGTGCAAAGTCACTGACTGTGAAGCTTGAACACAAAGGCAGCCTCAACAGACATGCATTTTGAGTTCTCCTCTTCGAGTCCCTATCGAGATCCATCTCAAAGATCCATCATTCTCACAATCCTTCAACTTGTCCTCTGCAAAAGTCCCTCTCGAAAAGTGTTGGCCACCGTGAGGTGACACATCATCTCCAGTCATGTTGACACATCTACATTTCCACAGGAAACATCTCTACCATACTACCAAAGCAGGGGACCAATGCAATATAGTTTCAGGTTATGTTAACATTACATTAACGTTCATTCAACCCCTCCAGATCTTCTGGCTGTGTTTTGACCTTTTCAGGGGTATTTTTGACCTTTGACCCCCATCATGCCATCGTCTCCTTGCCTGGCAGTCTCCTGTCATTGAATGTGTGCATGTTGATGACCTCCTCGGTCTTGACGATGACCGGCGGCTGCGGCTTCTGCTTGAGGCGCCGCTGGCACTTCAGGGAGCCACGCAGCTCTTCCAGCATGGCACTGCAGAAAGAGCGCTGAAGAGGGGGAAGGAGGGGAGAGGGAGGTTGAGGGTAAAATACAGACAGAACTGACAAATTAACTGACAGATATGGTCAGTATACAGTATGTGGTCCATGCAGGAACAATGCTAGCGTTGTCAGTGCCATGCTCTAACCCACTGAACCATTGGGACTACCCTGGTAGAGGGTGATTGTGAGAGAGGGAGAGAGAGGAGGAAGAGAAGGAGAGGCAGAGGAGAGAAGAATAGGTAGTGAGCGGACGGGGGAGAGGGGGGTGAATAGCGGAGAAGGGAAGGTGGCAAGGAGAGAGGGCGAAGGATAGAGGCGATAGTGGGAGGGGGAGAGGGTTGTAGAGGGCAGGAGAGCGAGAAAGCAGAGAGTGAGTGAGAGTGCTCACAATATAATAATGTGCTGTCACAGGTTACTGTCACAGGTTACACATTACAACCAACTTGGTGGCGTAGAGGACAGAATGTTTTACATTTGCACATGCTTATAGCATTTTAACCAATCTATCTTCTCATCTCAGTTCTTGATTGATGATGAAAGAATCACAGTGCATAAAGACCTATGGTCCAGAAATCATTCACAAGCCAATGCCATATAAACGGTTATGAAGCAGCTGAAAGGACCTTTTATATCAGCCTTTATGTAGCCTAGTAGCATTTAGCTTCAGTGTTGGGGAATAGTGAACCACATGTAGTAGCTTGCAGTAGCTTGGTAGTAGTTAAGGCCAGGCACCACACCCTCATAGGGTAATTTTCCCCCCATGAATCATATCACAATCAACTTTTACCAGTTGAATGTAGAAGGAAATATAATACTTTTTTGTATAAAACAAATTCTGAAATATGTAATATGCAAATTAGGCGATATCTCAATAAATATCATGCAAATCAATTTTTCTGGATACTGGATGAAGTCAACCTAAATATTTTGGTTTCATTTTGTTAAGACACTCCAGGACCAGACTTGTCCAGAGCAGATTGTGTATAAATACTTTTTTCTGTATTATTATTTTAATCTTTATAAAGAATTTACAACATATCAACAATTCCCTCTGGGCAAGTCTGGAGAATATTCTAAGGATAACCACACAACATTTGGTGAATGCAGATGCTTCTGAAGCTGAGAAAAATGAGTTGGCGTGTGGGAAGAGTCTGACTTCCAAGAAATTGCAGTTAAAGACAAGTACACTGAATTTAGACTACCTAATGCCAAACACCTATTTAAACCAAATCACAATTTCTTCAAAGTAAGTTACTAAATATAGTCTGTAACAACTTTTAAATTATGTGTCATTTAATGTAGTGAACTTTGAAAATATTGATGTATGCCCATTTTAAAGTGGTTAAAATACATTAAAATACATTGAAGGTAGTATGATAAACTAAAGGAAATTACATTTTCATATATATTTTTTACATTTCTATGTGTACCTTTTGAAAAAACTAATATTAACGGATCAAAATACCAACAAATCTCAAAATTGATAGGTAGATGCAAAAATGTTAGCATGTGGTGCCTGGCCTTACACAAAATTCAAATATTGGTAGTGTTTTCAGTGTTTTTTTGCCATGTAGAGGTGTGGCTAACTACTGGAACTACACACTACTTTTTTTTGCAAAAATAACAGAAATTATAGGTGAAGTAGGCATCGGACCTTCCCAATTCTGAATTGAAACATAGTTATTGTGTTTAATAGGCTAAATTACACATTCTGTTAACATCTGACTCCAGAACCAGACTGATCTGTTATTTCAATTTGTGATCTATTACATTTCAGATTTAGATAAGAGTAGCTTTAGTGTAGCTTAACTTCTTCCAGTGTGAAGTAATTGGTAGCTTCATAAACTATGTTTTCAGCGTAGCCTTCCCAACACTTATACATGGTTTGGGAAGCATCTACATCAGGGATCTCCAACTGGAGAGCTCCCACCCCATTTGTAAATATCCTGATTCATCTTATTAACCAGCTAATTATCAGAATCAGGTACTAGATTAGGGTTGGAGCAAAAACCTACAGGACGGTAGCACTCCAGGAACAGGGTTGGAGAGCCCTGATCTACATAGTGTTTCAGCAGACTTTATAAATATTTGACGAAGTCTCTTTAATGCTATATAAACCTCACCTTCTCTAGCGCTGCGTTCTGTTTAGACTTGTACAGGACCTCCCCAACAGCCACGAACACAGACAGCACCAGCCCTGCGGCCAGCACGATGAAGATACCCCCGATGTTCTGCACCCCCAGAGCGCTAGCCTCCTTATTCTTCTCATCCTCCGGACAGCCGTTCCCCCTCCACCACTTCTCCTTCATCATGTGCAGCTTCCCTTCTTCCTGCAGTTGCAGGATCGCTATGGTGATCTTGTCCCGGTATGGAGACCCTGTTGGGGACAGAAAATAAAATGATCAAAAACGATATATACTGAACAGAAATATAAACGCAACATGTAAAGTGTTGGTCCCATGTTTCATGAGCTGAAATAAAATATCTGTCACACCCTGGCTCGGGGACTCATTATGTTGAGCCAGGGTGTGTTCATTCTATGTTTTCTGTTTCTTTGGTGGGTGTTCTAGGTTGTCTATTTTCTATGTTTGCCGGTGTGACTCCCAATCAGAGGCAACGAGTGTCAGCTGTCGGCTGGTTGTCTCTGATTGGGAGCCATATTTAATCTGTCTGTTTTTCTTTCGGGTTGTGGGATTTTGTTCGTGTGTGTTCGTGTTGTACCATAGACGTCACGCATTCGTTGTTTATTGTTTTGTTCGTGTGAGCATTTAATAAATAGAATATGTTCACTCGCAACGCTGCGCCTTGGTCTCCCTCATTAGACGATCGTGACAGAAAATCCCACCAGTACCAGACCAAGCAGCGTGAGGAGGAGAGAGGAAGGACCTGGGATCAGTGGAGTAGGAGTTTCGGCTGGGCCCCGCTAAGTGAAGAGAAGAGAGGCTGGTCTATGGAGCAATGGATCAAGAGCTTCGACTGGGTCAAGCCCATTGAGGAGCTGAGTGACGAGGGTTGGAGACAGAGGAGCGAGAGGTGGGCGAGAACGATGGACGCCTGGCCCACGGGGAGGAGAGACCCCCAGAAATTTTTTAGGGGGGGGGCTCACGACGTGGACGACGGGGCAGCAGGAGGCCGCGAGGGAGCGGTCCAGCGGGTGTGAAGAGGAGGCCGCCAGGTTAAGGGGGCCACTGGTCACAGAGGAGAGGGAAAGTGTGGAGGCACGGCGAGAGGTACTGGGGTGTGTTACCAGTCCGGTCCGGCCCGTTCCTGATCCCTGCGTAGGGCCAGTGGTGTGTGTCCCCAGTACGGTCCGGCCTGTTCCTGTTCCTCGCATCGAGCCTGTGGTGCGTGTCGTCAGCCCGGCCCGGCCTGTTCCTGCTTCCCGCACCGAGCCTATGGTGCGCGTCGCCAGCCCGGCCCGGCCTGTTCCTGCTCCCTGCACCAAACCTGTGGTGCGCGTCACCAGCCCGGTCCGGCCCGTTCCTGCTCTCCGCACCAAGTCTGTGGTGCGCGTCGCCAGCCCGGCCCGGCCTGTTCCTGCTCCCCGCACCAAACCTGTGGTGCGCGTCGCCAGCCCGGTCCGGCCCGTTCCTGCTCTCCGCACCAAGTCTGTGGTGCGCGTCGCCAGCCCGGCCCGGCCTGTTCCTGCTCCCCGCACCAAACCTGTGGTGCGCGTCGCCAGCCTGGCCCGGCCTGTTCCTGCTCCCCGCACCAAGTCTGTGGTGCGTTTCGTCAGCCCTGTCCGGCTCGTTCCTGCTCTCCGCACCAAGTCTGTGGTGCGCGTCGCCAGCCCATTCCGGTCCATTCCTGCTCCACGCACCAAGCCAGGGGTGTGTATCGTCAGCCCGGTCCGGTCCGTTCCTGTTCCACGCACCAAGCCAGGGGCGCGTGTCATCAGTCCGGCTCCAGTCCTTCCACGCACAGGACCAGGGGTACTTTGGGGGGTTGGAGAGGAAGTGGGGATCAAGCCCGGAGCCGGAGCCGCCGCCGAGGAGGAATGCCCACCCAGCCCTCCCCTGTTTTTGCTCGTATTTAGGCGCGGTCGCAGTCCGCGCCTGTCTGTTTTTCTTTCGGGTTGTGGGATTTTGTTCGTGTGTGTTCGTGTTGTACCATAGACGTCACGCATTCGTTGTTTATTGTTTTGTTCGTGTGAGCATTTAATAAATAGAATATGTTCACTCGCAACGCTGCGCCTTGGTCTCCCTCATTAGACGATCGTGACAATATCCCAGAAATGTTCCATATGCACAAAAAGCTTATTTCTCTCAAATGTTGTGCACAAATTTGCTTACATCGGTGTTCATGAGCATTTTTCCTTTGCCAAGATAATCCATCCATCTGACAGGTGTGGCATATCAAGAAGCTGATTAAACAGCATGATCATCACACAGGTGCACCTTGTGCTGGGGACAATAAAAGGCCACTCTAAAATGTGCAGTTTTGTCACACAACACAATGTCATAGAAGTCTGAAGTTTTTAGGAAGCATGCAATTGGCATGATGACTGCAGGAATGTCCACCAGAGCTGTTGCTAGAGAATTGAATGTTCAGTTTTCTACCATAAACCACCTCCAACGTTGTTTTAGAGAATTTGGCAGTACGTCCAACCGGCCTCACAACCGCAGACCACGTGTAACCACGCCAGCCCAGGACCTCCACATCCTGCTTCTTCACCTGCAGGATCGTCCGAGACCAGCCACCAGGACAGCTGATGAGACTGAGGTGTATTTCTGTCTGTAGTAAAGCCCTTTTGTGGGGAAAAACTCATTCTGATTGGCTGGGCCTGGCTCCCCAGTGGTTGGGCCTGGCTCACAAGTGGGTGGGCCTATGCCCTCCCAGGCCAACCCATGACTGCGCCCCTGCCCAGTCATGTGAAATCCATAGATTAGGGCCTAATGAATTTAATTCAATTGACTGATTTCCTTATATGAACTGTAACTCAGTAAAATCTTTGAAATTGTTGCATGTTGCGTTTATATATTTTTGTTCAGTATAAATGAAACATCATAGAGTGAATGAATTTGTTATGAAGTTAATTAATTCAAAGACTATGCATTGTTCATGCTACCTATTATATAGCATGCTATGGCCATGGCGATTTTGTCCCGGAACAGAGAGCTTGCAGACAAAAAGGACAGATGATCAGAAAATGTAGAACGAAAGAAATAAAAACATTGCATCAGATTGGCTTATTAAGTGAATTAATGTATGTTGACAAATTTCCCCTTTGGGGATCAATAAAGTATTCATCTTATCTTATTTGATCTTAATTCAAAGGTGTTCTGCCCTTCCAAGCAAAAAGGCAGTAACTGCTCATTTGGTCGAAAATGAGTTAATGTAATTTTTGCTACATTAAATACATGCTTAATCATGTGGACAAGTATCCTGCCTCTATTGTATTGTGTTTTGGAGAAAATGGGGGTCATGTTAGCAGTAACTGCATAAGGTTACTGTGAAACCAAGGTAAATAAAAGCCATTATTCTCAGTTCCACGCTATGAGCAGTTACTGCCTTTTTGCTTGGTATGGCAGTATTTTTCAATGTCTATTTTTTTTGCATGCTATGGTGCACAGCAAATTTGCGATCATAATTTTAACACCCAGTGTTAAATTGATCACTTTCTTAGAAATGATGTGACCATCTCAAATAGTGTTAAACTAACACCCAAGAGTGTTGGGTCCCTAACACCGTGGGTGTTGCAAATTCTGACTTACAGTAAATTAAAACTTAATTAGAGCTGATGCTATTACACTTTCTCAGTGTTAGGAAATTAAAACCTGTGGTGTTACAGTAACTACATGTTGAGTGTTGTTTTAACACTGTAGGTTGTAAAGCCTTTTCAGTACCAGTACCACCCATAACTAGTAACAGAGACATGATTGTTGCATACGATGGCTTTCAGTCTTAGGCACTAACTTCACCAAGTGAGTGCCTAAGTGAATATTTTATCATAACATTTTTTATTTATTTATGACAACACATTACTTTTCTTGACAATACCATACCCGGACAGCCTATAGTCTTACCCTAACACAATAGTCTGAAACTCCTGGTTTGCAGGCCACATCAGCAAGTCACATTATGCTGACTTGCGAAGTGTTATATATTGGAATTCAGCCAGAGTTAGGATATCCAATAAATGGAACTTTTATTAACCTGCAATCTGCAGTTAGAATGCCAAGGTAGGGAAGAATGATAAATGAGACTACCTAAACTACCTTAACTGGAACAACAATCTCAATAACGGGTTAATTAAGTTCAGCCATTTACAGATTTGATTAGTTTAGAGAAATGTATATATCTATCTTTGTGTAGTATAAGATAATTTTATCAATCAATGCATACAGAAACAAAGATATTAAAACAAACTATTCTAAAAAGCAACCTGCAACAAAGCATGCTGGGAAATATGATATTAAGGCCCCTTCCATGTGTTTTTCACTCAGAGAATTAACGGAAATTAACTCATTGCAGTCGAGTAACAATAACGCCATGTGGTGTTGATTCCACCGTGATTCAAATAGCAATTCATTTATTCACCGCAAGTGGCGTCAATGTCAATCCCACTGGCGTTAACCCCACTAGAATCACCACTCAGATATAACGCTCACAACACTTTTTACCTCAACACCGAGACGTTTACACCCACAAATTTGCTGTGTGGGCATGGGGACCAACTTGTGGGCGTCTTTAGCGTATGAGCATAACCTGTCATGTTATTGTGGTGTCTTCATAGAAACACTCCCTTCCTCCTATTCATCACTAATCCTCACAGTGTCTTGGAGATTAGCATCTCGTTCCCAAGCGGGCATTACAACACTACAAGGCGTTGGCGACACTGGGCTTTGTGTTCCGGAGGAGCAGAGCTCCCGTCGATTCTGATGAATTACCACTGTGTGTGTGTGTCATAAATGGTGTACGTAAACAGAGGAGCCCGGTAGGGGGTTCACAGTGTGCGTGTGTGTGTCTGTGTGTGTGCATCCATAGGCGTGTGTCAACTCCCCAAATCTGCAGACAGTGGGAGAACGCTGGAATTAGCGACAGCGTATTTGGACACAGCGGGAGCCTCAGTGATCGAAGGAAGTGTAATCACTCCAGGGTTACCGAGTAGGACTGCTGCCTCCCTCCCTCTCCCCTCCCTATTCCAGAGCATGACACTACAAGGGCCCTAGGCAGCTACTACACACACAGAGACATGCACACACACAACAAGAGAGAGGAACACACACACACACAAACACACTCAGTCTCCCTCTAACGCGGTTTAGGCACTCATTCCGAATGGTTAAGGTAAGGGTTAAGATTTGGGATAGGGGCGGCAGGTAGCTTA